GCAGGGAGCCCGATGTGGGGCTCGATCCCAGGACCCTGGGATCATGACCTGAGCTGAAGGCAGATGCTTAACGACTGAGCCACCCAGGCGCCCGAGGTGGATAATTCTTTGTTGTGATGCTGTCTTGCCCATTGTAAGATGTTTAGCCGCACCCCTGGCCTCTACCCACTAGATGTCAGTGGGTAGTTACTAGTTAGTTACTAGTAGTGTTACACTACTAGTTGTGACGCCCCAAAGTGGCTCTAGACATTGACAAATGCCCTCCACCGACAACGGAGAAGCCCTGATTTGAACACTGAGCAGTTACTCCAGTCCTGTAGTTCCCTGATCCCTGTGTTTGGATTTGCTTTGCAACCTGGTAAAATTGGTGCAATGGTGGACAGGATACTTAGTAATTAACAGGGCACATGGTGTAGTCCATCAAAGTGGAGATTAGCTTGACTGTTGAAAACAGACTAGGAATACCGTACTTTGTAGAAAATTATATTACTGAACATGGCAGTAGTGATCACTTAAATACAGTGTTTCACCCAGTCGACCTCTGATTCATACAGAACCCTGCGAGAGGGGTGATAGGATTGCCACTTTTCAAAGGGGGCATCCTGCCTCAGAGAGGTTAGTATCACACAGCAGGCGTTAACCCAGTTCTCTGCCTCCTAAGCCAGCCTGCACTATTGATTTGTAAATTTGAGTATCCATACTTGGCTCATGAGCAGCTAGGTTTTTATTTGCTTAGAATCCGTTGGAGATTAGTTGAAAATTGCAGTTTCGAATTGGTTCATCAGCAGTTGACACTGCCCCCCAAATACTACTCTTAACATAGTTCATGAACATCTTACCACAAAGCTCTGTTCAGGCATAGCTAGATCTTTCGTAAAATCAATTAAGACAACATATACCAAGTGCCTTTCTAATTCTGTGCCTGGCCCAGAGTAGGAGCCCACAGAAAAATGTTCCCCAGCAAAATATTCTGGCAGGTTGTATGCTGCCGACTCCTAATCGGCAAGTATTGGAAAAGCAGCCGAAGCGGGAAATCTTTTAGAGAAGTCGGGGGAGGGCTATAAGCCACTTTTTGGACTGGAAGTAATGATGTCTGACCTCACTGGAGTGTCTGATAAGGCATCTTGTTATAGAGATTTTAATTCATCTCCCTTCTTGGCAGGCACGGCTGTCAATCCATGCCAGTCACAGCAATCTTGTCTGCCCAACCAGTTCGTGTCTGGGTGTCCCCAGTCTTGTACTCTTCCTCCCTCCCCCTATCCTGAATGTCTCTCCATCCGTCTTGCCACCTCTCTCCCCTTCTGTGTACATGTGTCTCTCTCTTTTGTTTCCACCCCTCCCCTTGTGTCTTTGTCGCTCTGTCTCATTCCCAATTTTTGTTTCTTTTGCCTCTGTCTCTGTCTCTCTCCCTCCCTCCCTCTGTATGATTCTGCATTTATTAAGTATATGTGCACGTAGTTTCCTTCAGAATGTGTTTAGAAAACATGGTCTTGTCCCAGAGAAGCTTATAATTAGAAACCTATCCGTTCAATGTAAATCCATTGAGGACTTAGAGGGTTTTTTTTTTTTTTTTTTTCATGGTCTTGTCCCAGAGAAGCTTATAATTAGAAACCTATCCGTTCAATGTAAATCCATTGAGGACTTAGAGGGTTTTTTTTTTTTTTTTTTTAAAGCTTACTGTATGTATCTCTTGCCTATTAGATTTTCCCTAACAAATCATCATAATAACACAATTGCATTGTTTTGCTTACAGTTTGCATTTGAAAGATGATAGATATGATTCGTATTTCTAGAGGTATGGAAATATTTTTTTAGCTTGTTGCATTGAATTTTGAAGCCACATTCTTGGTTTATTAATATTCAGTAGTTCCTCCAAAATCTGAAATTCCAGAAGGATAGGAGGATAAATCTTTGGAATCCAGAGGGGTTACGAGATGTC